CATCAGGAAAATAGGAGTAACAGTGGTTCCCATCCCCCAGGTTGCTGCAAGGAAGAAATGAGTTCACGGTGGTGCCATCACTATTATGATGGGAATCGTCAGAGCCGCCCTCTGGACAAGCTCTGTCCCCTAGTGCGTGTTCTGTCTTGCCTACACAGGCCCCAGAAGAGGAGCCAAGCCCAGGAATGATATGAAGTGCTCATGCTGAGTGTGCAGAGCCAGGGAAAGCTGGTCCCCTCCACGTGCTGCCAGCCCCTGCCAATCCACACAGGATCCAGTCACCAGCCAAGCATGGCACCAAAGGACATATGAACTTGGCTGTTCCAGTCCTCCCCACGGCTTTGCTCAGCCCCCTCCCTCCAACGCACAAACAGAAATGTGCACAAATGCAAAATAACAATGATAATCATACGAGATGGCAGCTGAGACCCGTTACAGTTGATGACAGTTTGAAAGAAGGATGAGCCGCTCTATGCCATCTGCCCACCTACTTTTCAAATTACTTTTATCCACCTTCGGAATTATGTCTGACTTTAGTGGGAAGAATTACCAGAGTGATAAAGATGTGAGTGTGCACCATGCGAGGGAGGGTGTCTTGCAGCGTGGCCTTTGCTGTGCTGTTGGGGGTTTAATCCTTGAAACGAGAAGGGCCTGCTTTCTGCTGCAGCAGGCTCCTAGCAGAGAGCAGGCACAGGTGACCATGACATGAAGCCAAGGGGCCAAGCCTGCTGCTGTGATCCAGGTTCGCCCACCTCCTCTCCCTGGCCAGCGCTGTTGGGACATGAAGTCTTGCCTGGAGCCTCAAATGCCCAGACTGGACACATGGCCAGACACATGGACAGAGCCTCTCTTCTTCCTACAGTTGTGCCCTTTGTAGATTACACAGTCATTGTGGGCACGCGGAGATCCACTGGATTTCAGGGAAGCCATTAAGTTTTGGGGCATTTCCTTTGATGACCTGGGCACTGTCAGATGTTTATTTAGAAAAATACTAACTTAATGAACATGTGATAGAAGAAAAGCATTTGTTAGTTATAGTCCCCTCCCTCTTCGAAGGGGACAGTAGAAGAAGGTGGGATAGAAGGGCCTTTGCTTCCCAGGCAGGGAATGGATCAGGGAAACAGGAGGGAGAAGTGTGTGTGTGTGTGGGGCGGGTAGGATCTAAAGGAAGAAGGGTCTGAGGCCATTGAGACCATGCCTGGGGCAAAGGGGCATAGGAGAGCTGCAGGGAGAGGCGCCTTCTGGAAGGGAGTCCTAGGCTGACCCACTGCACACAGGAGATGCACAGCCGTCCTGGGCACGCTTATGGATTCCTGGAGGGGCAGGAAGTGAAGAAAGGCACAATCCTGTTCAGATGGGGCCTGTAAGAACCCCACATGCAGGGGCTGGAGCCTGCCCCTCCATACTCCCCCTGGGAAGTGGATAGCAACTACCTGGGACAGCATTATTAATCCACTCTGTCTCCAGTGGACCTTGGCCCCAGACATCAGGTTTGGGGACCCACCTAGGGGCATCAGCAATGCTCCAGGTAAGTACTTGTGGTTAGGAATGGCGAGAAAATGAGTCAATTGTGAGCATGTGTGCAATCTGGTAGGCCCTCCCTCGGCTGTGCCTCCCCTGTGTAGCAACCTTCCCAGGGTGGGCAGTGGAGATCCCCGCCCCAGGGAGCAGCAGGGCAGACCCCACTTCCAGCCACGGCAGGCACCAGTCCAGCTAGGGGTGGGTGGCGGCCTTCCACAGGCATGGCTTTGATGGTTTAAAAAAACTGAAAACGCACATTATGCAGGGGTGAACCACTAACATGAAGGAAGGAAGGAAGGAAGGAAGGAAGGAAGGAAGGAAGGAAGGAAGGAAGGAAGGAAGGGTGGGAAATGAGTCTCCCACCACTTGCCCCAGATCCCAGGCCCCTTCTCCAGATGTCCTAGTCCACTTGGGCTACAGTAACAAAATACACAGTTCTGGAGGCTGGAAGTTAGCACGGTCTGGTTCTGATGAGGGCCCTCTTCTGGATTGGAGACAGCCAACTTCTTGCCATGTCCTCACATGGCCAAGTGGCAAGGGAACTCTCTGAGGTCTCTTCTGGAAGGGTATAATCCCATTCATGACTAATCACCTACCAAAGGCCCCACCTCCTAATAACCTCACACTGGGGGTTAGAGCTTCAATATATGAATTTTGAGGGGACACCAACATTGAGTCAATAACACCAGAGGAGGGGCGCCTGGGTGGCTCAGTCGGTTAAGCATCTGACTCTTGGTTTCAGCTCAGGTTGTGATCTCAGTGTCCTGGGATCGAGCCCTGCATCAGGCTCCATGCTCAGTGGGGAGTGTGCTTGAGATTCTCTCTCTCCTTCTCTCCCTCTGCCCCTCCCCTACCAAATAAATAAATAAATCTTCAAAATAATAACACCAGAGGAAACTCATGGTGCCAATTTCCATGTTTTATGTACCCTTCCAGGAATTAAATTTCATGCTTCTACATACACACACACACACACACACACACACACTAATGAGCAGATTCTATGAACACACTCTCAAGCATCCTCTTTTTCATGAAACAATATACTGTGAAGCTTGTTCCACATCATAAACCTAAAAATACCTGTTTTTAAAAATGTATGTAATTCGGGCGCCTGGGTGGCTCAGTTGGTTAAGCGACTGCCTTCGGCTCAGGTCATGATCCTGGAGTCCCTGGATCGAGTCCCACATCGGGCTCCCTGCTCGGCGGGGAGTCTGCTTCTCCCTCTGACCCTCCCCCCTCTTGTGTGCTCTCTCTCTCAGTCTCTCTCTCTCAAATAAATAAATAAAATCTTAAAAAAAATGTATGTAATTCAATACAAGGGATGTGCTGTGATTAATTAATATCACCGTTGGGGCACCTGGGTGGCTCACATGGTTAAGTGACTGCCTTCGGCTCAGGTCATGATCTCAGGGTCCTGGTATGGAGCCCCGCCTTGGGCTCCCTGCTCAGTGGGGAGTCTACTTCTCCCTCTCCCTCTGCCCCTTCCCCCACTCATGCTCTCTCTTGCTATCTCTCTCTCTCTCTCAAAAAAAAACTCTTTAAAAAATTAATATTAGTATTGGTAGTATTTAAGTAGTTTCCATCCTTTACAATCACAAAGAATGTTTCCATGAGCCTCGGTTGTAAACCTAATGTGCCGGACAAAGTCTTAATATGGGATTTCTGGGCTGGAGAATTTCTAATCCTGACAGATGTGCCCAAACTCCCTCTCGGAGACTATGCATCCTGCTCACTTTCACAGCCGTTACCGAAGGTTGGAATTCTGCCCGTCTGATAGGTGTCAAGCAGGGCTTCACTGAGGTTTCAGTTCACATTTCTCTTATTGTAAGAGTAAGCATATTTTCCAATGTTTAGAAGCATTTTCATTTCCTGTGAAGGATTTCTATCCACTGACCATTTTTCAATTAAGTTGTTGGATTTTTTTCTTATTGATTTAAAGATTTATTCTATTTTGTTTTGGGGGGAGGGGCAGAGGGAGAGAGAATCTCAAGCAGACTCTCCACTGAGCGAGGAGCAGGAAGTGGGGCTTGATCCCATGACCCTGAGATCACGACTTGAGCTGAAATTAAGAATTGGTTGCTTAACCACTGAGCCACCCAGGTGTCCTCTTCTTACTGATTTATAGCAGCCCTTGGCCTATGACATAGTTGCATATATTATGCACATGATGTTATTCTTATGTCATAGACATAAATACACCTTGTTCTTTTTCATGACTGTGTGATAATTCCATCTTAACGATGTGCCATCATTTTATTCTCAGTTTATGGCTTGTCTTTTTACTTTAATCAGGATGTTTTCTGCCATACAGAAATATCTGGCTCTTATCTAGTAGAATAAATCAATTTTGCTGTTTATGTCCTCAGGGTTTTGTAACAAGAGCAAAAAAGTTACCCCCTCCAAGATTACAAATGGTTTTCTCATTTTCTTCTGATATTTTTATGGTTTCCATCTTCTTGCATTTAAATCTTCCCTCTACCTGGATCACTCTGGAATTTATTTTAGTGGCAGAAGGAACTGGGCACTTGATTTTATTTTTTCTGGATGGCTAGCCAGTTGTCCCAGCATGACATTAGGTAGTGAATAACCTTACAGGCTGAGATGTCACCTTCACCACATTCTCGATTCCCATGTGTGTGTGGCGGGCCTGCACTGTGAATGTCCACCTGACCACGTCTGGTCTTCTGACAAGCTGGGCAGACCAGCGAGAAGCTGCCCCGGCTCCCAGGCCTTCAGCCTCCCTCGCCCTTCTTCAAGGTGGGCCTCCATTCCCGGAAAGCCCCTTCTGAAGCACCACAGTGAGCCAAGGTGTCTCAGTAAAGTGACGTTCCCAAGATGGGAACGTCACCACCTGGAAGGGTGTCTGGCCCACAGCTTTGCACCCTGTGGTCAGGCACTGTACTCTGAAGGGAAACTGTCCCCTCGACACAGCCCCCCCTCCGCCCCCCCATCACAAGCACAACAGTCCCAGCACCCAGGCCAGCTTCCAGCTGCCCCTGCAGGCCGAGGGAAGGCCGAGGCACCGGGAACGGAGGCGGGACAGGTGGGTCAGCACACTCCCTCCTGGCAGGCAGCCGATGCTGGAGTCGGCCCCAGCCTCCTGTCTCCTGGCCTTCCCATCCAAGCCTTCTCCAGCCTCCCCCGCAGGACCCCATCATTCACATTCAAGCAGCTATTCTGTGCCAGGACCTGCACCGGGTGCTGACGGCTCAGTGGACAGACGCAGCGCATGGGCTTGCGGAGGCCCGCGTTCCACGGACGGCAGGCACCATGGCCCCATGCAGGGGCCAAGCTCGGTCAGCAGAAGCAGCACGTGCACTGGCCGGCAGTGGGAGCCCCCAGAACCTGGGGAGGGAAGGCCCACCGTGGGAGGAGAAGGCCTTTGCAAGCCTGAGGCAGTTGGCAGCAGATGAGGCAGTACCCAAGGATGAAAGCCCAGGCTGCTCCCCACCGCAGGTTTACCATGAACCCCAGACCTGGGAGGGCAGGGGTGCCGTCGGGGACCCGGCCAGGCTCTTGCCGGCTGGTGGGCTCGGGCTCCAGTTCTGACTTCACAGCTCCGAGGCTCCGTTTTCACATCTATAAAATGGGCGTAATGCTGTGACAGACCCTGACATTGGTGAGAAGTGTCCCCCTAGACCCACGTGAATCCTCAGACCAACAAACACTATTTCTTCAGTGGGTATACACAGAGGGTGGTAAACTGGGCCCATCCACCAGCCGAGTCAACACACACACACACACACACACACACACATGCTCAGCTGGAATATTTTCTAGGTATTTTACTAATTTAATCTTCACAGCAACGCTTCATGAAAGGTTTATCTCCATCACAGATTTCAACATGTCCTGCCCCTCTAGAATTTACCCACAGCACAAGATCCCAACGCACCCCGTCTCCATCTGGGGGATGCTCCAGGATTTTGGGTAAAAAGTCAAATGGCACCTGGTAACCTGGAAAGGTGAGCCCTTCGCTCTGCTCCCAGGGGAAGTGACGGGCATATATCATGTCCTTGACACTTGCTGGCTCCCACGCCGTCATTGTTTTTCCTACAGCAGCGCCCGCCTTCTCATGATGCCGGGGTCCTTGCGCAGAATGACAAGCCTGTTTGCTCAGCCAGGGGGACCCGGGGGGGGGGGGGGGCGGGGCTGGTGCTGCCCCTCAGGTGCCCCACCAATCCCTCTGTGGCCCTAGCAAAGGGTTCGAATTCAGAAGGGCGGGAAGTGGTCGATTCTTACTGAGCTGTTTTAAATTATTTCAGCTGCATGGAGGTATTTGAGAATCAGACCAAATAAACATTTGCATCTAAAAAAGGCAAAACAGGGTCATTTGAAATGGAGAAGAAAGCCTTTCCCATATCCGGAGGGTGTGGCCAGACTTTCCAGAGAAGCTGTGCTGGGCTTGCTTTGGTTTTGTGTGTTTGCCAAGGCACATAGCTCAGACCCTGCTTCGGGAGGGAGGTATTTTCTTTTAAATAAAATGTGAGCTGATCTAAGTTTCGTTCCCCGATCTGCTCTACCATCACCCCCGGCCCCCTGCAGCTGTTGGGACAACATCTTTAAAAGGCGTGCTTTTCATGGGAAGGTGACCATGACCCACTTGATGTGAGCGACCAGTCAGGACCAAGGCAGGGAGGAAGGGCGGTGCTCCCCAAGTTCCCAAGACGGCCCACGGCATCCTCCACACCCAGTCTGATGCATCTCCCTCCTGCCCAGGACGCCTCCTAACACCCCCTCTTCACTTCGGGCCCAGTGCCCAGGAGACGCAGGTCCACTTTTCCTTAAGAGTCTGGATTGGAACAAAATGTGGGCATCACATTCTTTTCCTTCTTTCTAGCAATTATGCCCCCAGGGCTTAAATCCCATCCTGTAAATTAAACCCAAGGGGGGTGGCATCTGCTACAACACTCTGTGTGCTGTCCCTCCAGCCCCCCGGAAGCATTTGCACCAATGCCAAGCTCCTGACGACAGCAGGGACAGGTCACCCGCCACCCCCCAGCCCCAATGCACAGGTACTATCACACAGGTCGGTCTCCGTGTCTAAGCAGTCCACCATCTGGCCCTCGCAGCAATCTTGTCTTGGAGGAAGGTCTGTACAGTGAAATGACTGTCTAGCCGGGCGCCTGGGTGGCTCAGATGGTTAAGCGTCTGCCTGCGGCTCAGATCATGATCCCAGGGTCCTGGGATCGAGTCCCACAGCGGGCTCCCTGCTCTGCGGGAAGTTTGCTTCTCCCTCTGACTCTCTCTCTCTCTCATGAATAAATAAATAAAATCTTAAAAAAAAAAAAAAAAAAAAGAAGGAACTGTCTCGCCCCAAGATGGAGCTGCTCCTGCCTGGGGCGCCTCATCATTAAACCCAACCGTGGACAACTGAAAATGCTCTGCGTGACCAGAAAGGCCATGTATCCAGTCAGCCAGTCCCCAAATGCCCAGCCACCTCTGGGCTCCAGAATTAAACTTCCCTGTTCTTTATTCTTTATGCTGTGAAAGCTTCCTGCCTTCTGCCCCATTTTGCGGTTCTCTGGACCCCTGGCAACAGAGATTGCTTGCTTCATGAAGTGGTTAATAAAGTTTGTATCCCCTAAATTATCTTTAATCATTTTAGGCAATATAAACCCCAGCCCCCTCCTTCCCCTTCTGCTCAAGCACAGAGCCCTTGCTCATTCATTCATTCAAACATTGGGTTTGAATGAATTGGGTTCAAGATGGCTGATGAACCACATCCAGGTACTTCTCCTCCCTCCCCAGATCCTCTGAAATACCAGAATAACTATAAAAACAAATACTTAGGAGCCCTGGAAAACTAGGAAAAGTGCCACTAGCAGATCAGAACATTGGAGAATTTCTGGAAGATAGAAAGTAGATGGGCTCAAATTAGCGGGGAAACCCACAGAGCAGGGGAGCCCACAATGCCAAGCAGATGGGAAACCCTAACCCCCATCCTAACCCTAACCACCCCCACCCTCCAATCTAGAAATGGGAGAAGTGGTGGCATGGAGAAGACATCTTGGGACGTTGATAAGGTGATTCCGTGAAGGGCTCCCCGAGCAGCTGGGACAATGCCCCATTTGCCCCCAGCATAAAGTCAGAGTGCAGCTTTAAAACTGATGGCAGATTGCTGCAGGGGGGGGCACCCCTGGAGAGAGAAGCAGGACCCTGCCCAGGTAATGGAGCCAAAGTGAGATACAGAGCACGCCCAGATCAGAGGCCCTGGAAGGTGCTTTGCCCTTGTGCATCCCTGCCTGCTTCCATGACCCCAAGTGCCCAAGGGGGCCAGGGTTCCTGTGACCAGAGTGGACAGTCCCTTACAGAGGGGAGGTTTGCTTATGTTCAAGATATCCTCTACACAGCACGAGTGACCAGTCAAGACGAGCAGTTCCCATGTGTGCTGCACTCAGGAATCCTTTCCCCTCTTAAAAATGCTTGAGGGCCCCAGAGAGACCTACTCTATGGGAAAAACCTATTGATATTTACTGTAACAGAAGTTATAGAATGCAGAAAAATTTTAAATCTTTATTTTTAAATGATAATAAAGCCAATACATGTTAACATGAATAACATAACATTTATGAAAATAGTTCTCTTTGTCTAAGAATAGCTTATTTAGTAAGATGAGTGACATGATTTTGTATTTTTGAAAATCTCATGCTCAGACTTGCTTCTGATTTCAATCTGTTATGGTATCACATGTTATCTAGACTCTGGAAAACGCTGCTGAACACTTATGAGAGAAAAAAATGTCTTTGTATTCCTATTAAATAGTTTTTACTTTGTGGACCCCCTAAAGAGTCCCAGGAACCCCCTTTAAAAGCCATCATCCTGACACTCATTTGCAAATGAGGTCAGACAACCAAGAATCCCCATACATTTGAAGGAAACCAACAACTTGCCAAGGAAGAACCAGAAAGAACCCTGGAGAAAATAGGGTAACAGGAATCAGAAGAGGACATTAAAATAAGTATAACTAATGTCCTTGGAGAGGTTTGACAGGATATAAGAACCCGTTGGCAGGTGGGCACAGAGCAAACACACAGAAAAACACACTTTTCCAATATGCCCTTAATAACCAGGTAGGACATAGCATTTGCAACGGCAACAAAAATCATAAATAATCTAGGCACAGACCCAACCAAAATTTTGGAGGACCTGCATGAAGGAGATTTTTAAATTGTATAAAAGAACATAAGTTGAGACACATTGTGTTCTGTGGGAATCCTCAGTATTAAAAGGTGGCAGTTATATGAGCTGCTCAGCAAGCACCCCTTCACGTTATACTGGATTGAGTTGGATTTCTATCACAAGCGTCAAGAGTCATAACCAATATATTCTCTAGGAGGAAAGCCACCCCCCCAAAAGAGACAAGCAATTGACAACAAGAAAATATTGGCAACATGAATAACAGTCCAAAGGCTAAGGTAACTAATTTATAAAATTCTTGGGGCGTAATATGAAGAAGACAAAGAACCTTAAGGTGCAGGTGTGTGTGTGGGGGGGGCGCACGCAGAGAGAAAGATTTTAAAGAATTGACTCATGATTGTGGAGGCTAGCAAGTCCAAAATCCTTAGGGCAGGATGCCAGAGATCCCAGGGAAGAGTTGATGCTGCAGTTTGAGCCTGATGGCAGCCCCCACACAACACTTCTTGCTCAGAAGATGTCTTGCCTTTTTTTCTCTGAAGGCCTTCAATTGAACGGATGCAGCCCACCCACATTATCTTGGGTAACCTGCTTTCCTCAAAGACGACTGACTTAAATATTAATCTCCCCTAATAAAATATGGCAACATCTAGAATAATGCTTACCGAAATATCTGGGCTTTGTGGCCCAGCTAAATTGATATATAAAATTAATCATCTCAGTTTCTTTCTCAGATTGCAGTTCTGGGATGAGTACCTGCTCTGCTCCTCAGGGTCACTCGGGGCCCCAGGCTCCTCTCCTCAAGTTGTCACCCTCCCGCAAGGCCACTGCTCTACCACAGCTGGACTGCTGCCACAGCCAGATTCCAGGCAGCTCGGGAGAGGACACAGCCACTCTTTGCAGGCCAAAATACAGAAGTGACTTCTATCCCAGATCTCCTCTTACTCGGTTGGTGGGAACATCATGAGGACACACCTACCTGCAAGACACCCTGGGAAATGTAGTCCAGCTCAGCAGCCTGGGAAATGTAGTCCAGCTCAGCACGTCCGCCCAGCTACAGCTCCGTTATCCTAGGAGAGAATGGATTTTAAGAAGTGAGCAGCTTCCACGCCCACCTCCCCATCATAAGGAAATAGCAGTTAAACCCATGAAATACTTCCTTTCCTTATTTTCTTTTTCCTATCAGATTGACAAAAAATTTAAAGTTTACAAATCGCCAGTTGTTTGTATCAATCAGGAGGTTTCTTACTCTACAGCAATAGCCCCTTTATTTTTATTTATTTATTTTTAAAGATATTATCTATTTATTTGACAGACAGAGAGAGAGAGAGCACAAGCAAGGGGAGTGGAAGGCAGAGGGAGAGGGAGAAGCAGGCTCCCCACTGAGCAGGGAGCCTGACACGGGGCTCGATCCCAGGACCCCAGGATCATGACCTGAGCTGAAGGCAGCCGCTTAATCGACTCAGCCCCCCAAGCGCCCCAGCAACAGCCCCTTTAAATGAAACTAGATTTAAGTTTGAAGAGCGCTCCTAGAATCTTAAGGATCCTAGAGGAACAGGCTGGGAAAATGAGCAGGGGTCAAGAGGTCTCTGCAGACCAATGGTAGTAGAAGCAGCTTTGTTCAGACACTGGGGCCACCATGTGGCGCTGATGCTGGACCAGGCCACAGCTAGCCAATGCCACCAGCACCATCGTTGAACACCCTCTTTTAGACCTGGCTCTGCCTACCCAGCTCCCTGGAATTCTCTGCCCAAATGGCACCACTCCCACTTCCAGGGCCTGTGGGAGCCTCTTCCCCCGATCTAGGGGCCTACGCCCTGGCCTGAGGGGGACCAAGCGCTGGGGTTGGGGAGGTTGAGTGCGGAGCCTGGCCGCCTCTGTTTCAGAGCATTTCACCAATTATTTGTCAAAATCTCAAATGCATGGGGCCAGAGGTTCCTCTTCTCAGAATCTTCCATTTGTTGCAGAAAAGAACATAGCCTTAGTGGAAAAGCAACTCGTGGAACTGTATGCATAGAGACGCAGGAAAGTCTAGTTGTTAACTTGCAGGCTCTGGAGCCAGGCTCAAATCCTGACTCTGTCACTTAGTAGCTGTGTGATCCTGGGCCAGCTACTTAACCTCTGTGCCTCACACTTCTCATCTCCAAAAAGCAGAGATGACAGCGATAAACCTCAGAGGTTCGCGGGGATGAAACAAAATAATATATGTGAAGTGCTGAGCCCAGTGGTTGGCATTTGGTGAACATGCATCATCCATTAGCATTTCTTATGATATCCTGACCTCGTATCTGTACAAAGCAAATTCCTATGCATCCATGCATGTTGGTGTGTGCCCAGAACTGCACACACCTGCACACACTCACCATCACGAGTGGTTACCTGGGGTGGGGGGTGGGGTCCCGTAGGGAGGAAAGGAGTCAACACGGATGTCCTCTTGTAATGGGTCCAGTTATGAATTCTTTTAGTTTTCTTTAGCAAGTAGTACCACACATGGGCAGGTAAGTAATAGGTAGTGGGAATACAGACTAGTGAACAAGAACTAAGCGGGCAGAGCTGAGGTCCTGGGACTGGAGGACTGTCCTAGGTGGGAGGCACCCAAGGGTAGGAGAGGGGCCAGCTAGGGGTACCTCGCAGTGCAGGCCAGGCAGCTAGCATTCACCACTCTCCTTCCTTCCCCCTGCTTTTGTTGCATGAGGCTAGGGGCCAGAAGTCACCCAAGTAGACACAATCATTTGGTGAACAGGGGTCTCATCTAAAGTTGCACAGCCTTGGGTGAGGTCCAGGGTCCACTAGCCTAGCTTAGTGTGAACAGCAGCCTAGGAGCTGTGGAGGCACAAGGGCTGTGCTGAAAGAAGACAGGGACCGGGCGTCAGGCACGAGGACACAAAGAAAGGGGGAGGGGGTGTTGGTGGAGCCTAAGTCCCAGACCCCTTAGGCCTGGGAGGCAGATGTACGCTTCACCCATTTCAGCATTTCCTCCGGGGTTGGGCTGGGCCCAGGAAACAAGCAGAGCTGAGATCCTCCCTCTTTCCCCTCCTCCCCCTCCAAGTCCTCTTGTCCCCCACCCCCGCCGCCTCCCCCTTCTCCTCCCCCTTCCCTCTCCTTCCCAGCTCCTCGTCACTCCTGCCCTCCCCACTCCCTATCCCCACTTCTTCCTTTCCTCCCCCTTACTTCTCCCCCGCACCCCGCCCCGCACTTCCCCTCTCTCCCTCCGCCCTGCTCCCCACCCCCCGGCACCCCGCTCCCCTGCCCCGGAAGCCCGGTCCGCGGCCGGGGCAGAGCTGGGTGGGGCTGCGGCTCCGGGCGGCGCGCACCTGCCGGCTGGCGGCCGCGGGGGTCCCGGGCGGGGCGGGCAGGCGGGAGGGAGAGCGTCCGCGAGCGGGAGGCGTCCTGCGCAGGCCACGCCGGCCCTCCCTCCTGGCTGGGGGGCTCGGGCACCCCCCGGGGCAGCCGTGCCCCGCTTCCTGCCCCGAGTCCTCCGGGAGGGGGCTCCGGAGCCGGCCGGCGCGCGGGGTCCGTCCGCGCTGGGGCCGGCGGAGCGGGGACCGCCTTGCCCCGGAGGCCTGGTGCGCGTCGCCCACCAAGCCCGCACTTAAGACCCGGGTCCTGGGCGGCTCCCCACTCCAGGACGCCGTCCCCACCACCAGTCCCTGCCCCCTAGTGTCAGCCACCTGCCTCCGCATCCTAGAGTCCCCGCCCTAGAGTCCGCCTTCTAACATTTCTCCGACACCGACCCAGGTCCCCTGATCCCGGACCACTGCCCGTCTGCCTAGGTGTGGGAGCCCTGGCTCTGCTCCAGGGGAGCCTCCGAGGGACGGATGCCAGGACGCCCCCTTTGCCTCTGTGCTCCTGTGGCAGTCCTCCTGCCAGTGGCCCTGCCCGGGGCTACCCTGCTGCCCACCCAACACCCTAGCAGTCCCTGTATGGCTGCCCCTGTGGGCTGCGCGCACAGGTCACTGTCCTGGTGCAAGGCCTGGCCAGGGAGCATGGAAGTGACAGGGCCTTCCAGGCATCCTCCCTGTGGTCTCCCGCCAGCAGTCTCCTCCACGGGGCAGACGGTGTCAGGGGGCCCGGGTTGCATCCTTGCCCTGCCACGCCTTGTCCTGTACTCCCCGTGAGCTACACAGGTGGGTGTCACACTCTACTGTCCCCTAATGCTGTGCACTCTCCTACTTTGGAGCTCCTGCTGGAGCAGCACTGGCTTCCTAAAAAGCCCTACCCTTTGGTCACCTGACCAGTGCTTCACCTTCTCCCAGCAGCTTTCTGAGTCCCTCACTGAAATGCTTATTCATCCCGAGTCCCCTTGCAGGGTCTGACTCCTTCAGTGCCCATGCTGGGCCCTGGTCTGTCTGCTGCCTCTGGTAGGCCCGGCTCCCTGAATGCTGGGGCTGAGGGGAGCTTCTCGTCTGGAACACGGGGCGTGCAGGGGCTCAGGGACAGCCACAGGGCATGCCATGGCCTCTAGCTTTGAGATTTCACTGTGGGAAGCAGCATTAACTGCATCATGGCTCATGCATACCCGTGTGTATTCAGCAGTAGGCCACCCCCCTGCCTGAGGCTGAATCCAGATCCATGGGGCTCAGCTGACCGGCCAACGTCTGCTTCCCACCCCAGGCTTGTAGATGGACTGACATGTCCACGGTCAAGGACAGTGGATGCCTGGAAGCCTCTTGCAGTGGCAGGTCGTGGTGGGGGTGGAGGTGGAGGAGAAGGGAGGGCTAGGAAAGGAAATTGGAAAAGCGGTATTTTCTAGCATTTGGGCAAGAAGGAACTCTGGCAAAGCGAGTTCAGGTCCTGTTCTCCCAGGCATCCAGGCCTCAGGTCAGCCAGAATTACAGATGAGGGGGCCATCCTTCCCCCATCGTAGTTCTCTCTGGGGCGGCTGGTGACAGGAGGGTCCCACCAGGCCACTCCAGGCAAGCCCTCAGCCCGTCAGCACCCAGGTCAACCAAGCATGGGTGCTGCAGAGTGAAAAGAATCTTAAACCCACTGGGCCCAGGACTCCCAACCTCCTCACCGTCCCACCCGCAGACCCCCTGTTTTGAAAACTCTTACATATTAAATGAACGGCAATTAAATAGAGAAAATGGCTTGACTTCTGAGTGTGACCCCTCGGGAGTTGAGAAGGGGTCTTGGAGGCCCCTCAGAGGAGAGAAAACTGGGGGCTCCCTCATTGCCTTCCAGGAGACTCCCATGTATTGGCACCTGCCGGGTTGCATTCCAACACCGTGTTTACCTACAAAGCAAGGGCTGCCAATTCCCGCCACTCTCGGGCCGCACGGAGCTCTACCAGCTTGGCTCTGAGGTTCGGGGACTTCAGACAAATCCTCAAACACAAAGCCTTGTGGGTCTCTCAGTAAACTTAAGGTGCTCTAGGAAAACGAGGCAGACAGGCCCCGCTCATCTGGTTATGAGAATGATTTCAATTTAGTTTCACTTTTTGTTTGACTTTTGGGCCACAGGCCCTGTTATCACCTTTTAGAATCTTCCTTCCTCCCTGTAAGCACCAGCTGAGGTTCAGAAGTTCTCAGGGAAACCTACATTGGATAATAAGACCCAGAAGGGCCCTTTTCATGAAGAAATCCTTTAATGTCTGTTTGTGGCTGGGCGCAGCCTGTGGCTTTTATGTAGGAACATCTGATTAAAAGATGCCCTGCGGATCCCGGGGCAGGAGACAAATAATTGTGGTGCTTAATTTTCCCACGTGATGATTAATGAAAGATATGTTCATTTCGTCTGTGTGGGAAAGAGGCAACGTTAATGGATTTGGACTTGAAAACTTTTCAGAGCTGCTGTCCTGACACCGTGCGACACAGGGCTGGCTGTCCCTGCCGTGGTTACTCTAGGCGTTGGAAAACAGACCAAGCTTTTGGTGCCAAACAGCACAGTGGGGCGTGGAAGCAGGTATTCCCAGCCTCTCTGTTATGTAACCCAACACACATCCATGGCAGAACATATATTTCTTCCCCAAACATTAGCTAAACAATGCACCCGGTGAATGAAGATCATTTGTCCTTAAAGCTCCCACTATTACTGATTAGGGTCTTAGAGCTGCCGCGAGGCTTTATCTCAAGTAAGAGAAGAAAATATTCCTACCTGTACTGTCTCTCCTATGGACCTTTTCCTGCCTCTGACCTTGTGGGGGGACCCAAAGGGCTTGGCCCAGGAGACAGGAGAATGTTTAGTAATGAACGTGGCTATGACTTGGCTGTGTTACATCGCAGAGCTCAGTGTCCCTCTCTGAGTCTCAATTGCTTTATATGTTAATAAGGAGAAGAATAATTTCCCTTCCTTCTTGCCTTCTTTCTCCTCCTTCTCCTTCCTTCCTTTCCCTTCCCTTCCTTCTTTTTCCTTCAATTTTTTTTATTATGGAAAATTTTATTCCAGATGTAAATGTAGAGAGAAGAGGAAAATCAACCCTCATGTACTCCTCACCAGCTTCAACAGTGATCACCTCTACTCACTCCACCACCTAAAGCCAATCCCTAAACATCAACAACTTCATCTGTAAATATTTAAGAATTATATTGCTTATCTATTGCTGCTGTCTAGTTGCTTGAAACAGCAATAATCTATTAGATTATGATTCTCTGGGTTGTCAGTTTAGGCTGGGACCAGCCGAATGGTTCTTCTGTTGGTTTTGTCTGGCTGTCTCATGCAGATGCAGGTAGCCTGTCATTTGATTGGCGTTGGACAGTCTTGGATGGCCTCACTCCGATGCCTGGAGTTGCATCCTGAGGCCAAAGTGCCTCAGTCATCTACATGGCCTCTCCAGCTGACTAGCTTGGGCTTGCCCTCATGGTGGCAGCATTCCGAGAGTTTCCAGTGGCAAGAGAGGGCAAGCCCCAATGTGCAAGTACTTCTCAAGCCTCTGCTTGTCTCATGTTTGCTAATATCCTGTTTTCCAAAACAAGTCATGTAGCCAAGCCTGCAATCAACTGGGGGGGGGGGGGGATAGAAATGCACAAGGACATAGAAACAGGAGGAGTAATTCACTAAGGGCCATTACTGCTGCGATCTACCACAAGAATATATCCCTAGAACAGAAGCCCCTTTTTTTACATAACCACAATCCTATTATCACAGCCTACAAAATCAACTACCCATCTTAATGTTGGCAATATCCACTCAGTCTCTAGAGTTCTCCAATGGTCATATAATTATTTCTGTTTTTGTTGTCGTTCCTTGTTTATAGTTGGTTTGTTTGAATCAGGATCCAAATAAGCCTACACTTTGCATTTGGAAAAGTCTCTTAAGTCTCTTTAAGTCTACAGATTCTCTGTTCTCTCTCCCTCTCTTTAATGTTACTGTACTTTGTTGAAGAACTTGGGTTGCTTTTCCTTTTGCCGAAGAATTTCCCATATTCTGGATTATATTGTTTGCTTCCCTTGGTGCTGGTTAACATGTTCTTCTGTCTTCTGTACTTCCTGTTAGATCAAGAGACTCCATCAGACTCCAATGAAAGTTTTTTGGCAATGTTTCATAGGTGATGTGATGCATTTCCACCAACAGATACATAATGTCCGGTTGTATCTCTCCTAGTGATGTTCAGATTAATCAGGAGATTCAACATGTGTTTTCAACATGACCCACCAGATTCCATTCAATGATTGTAGTCAGCAGTAATCATGGCCTTCATCCATTATTTCCTAGGGATTGCAGTGTGAGATTTTCTGGAATACAGACGAAAACAATTCCATTCATGAGAGTTTTTATCCAGTTGTGTTGGCATACAGTATAAATTTAAGGTGTGTGGGTTAATGATTTGACTTACACATATCATGAAATGATTGACACAATATATTTAGTTGTCATCCATCACCTCATAGCAATACAAAAAAATAAAGAAAAAGATGTCTTTCTTGGGATAAGAACTCTTAGGATTTACTCTCTTCACAACTTTTATATACACCATTTAGCAGCATTAACTATAGTCATTGTGTTGTACGTTACATCCCTCATTCATGAGTTTTGAAATCATTTTAGTAGGGTGTAAGAAACCAAAATGTGACTCCCAAAGCACAGGAAACAAATGAAAAAAAAAAAAATTGGACTATATCAAACTTGAAAACTTTCATGTATCAAAGGACACAATTAATAAGGTGAAAAAGTAACCCACAGAATGGGAAAAAAATATTTGTAAATCACGTGTCTGATAAAGGGATAACATCCAGAATGTATAAAGAACTCCTACAACTCAACAACAAAAAAAACCTGATTAAAAAATGGCCAGCAGTGGGCGCCTGGGTGGCTCAGTTGGTTAAGCGACTGCCTTAGGCTCAGGTCATGATCCTGGAGTCCCTGGATCGAGTCCCGCATCGGGCTCCCTGCTCAGAAGGGAGTCTGCTTCTCCCTCTGACCCTCCCCCCTCTCATGCTCTCTGTCTCTCTCATCCTCTCTCTCAAATTAAAAAAAAAAAAAAAATGGCCAGCAGACTTCAATAGACATTTCTTCAAAGAAGATCTACAAATGGCCCATAAGCATGTGAAAGGTGCTCAATATTACTAATCCTTAGGAAAGTGCAAATCAAAGCCTCGTGAGATGACACCTCATACCCATTAAGATGGTTACTGTCAACAAAACAGAATATACCAAGTGTTGGCAAGAATGTGGGGAAATTGGAAGCTTTAT